AGCTGAGGGCGTCCCACATGCCAGGCCGCACTGGGGCCGGCTGTCCTCTCCCACGAGGGTCTGCGCAGGCCCCACACAGCGATTAACTCACCAACCCCAATGACGTGCGAGGTGCTGGAGCAGGAGACGGAGCTGGGGGAGGAGGGGAGGCTCTGAGGCTGGGGCTGTTCCCAGGCAGCGGGGAGTCACTGGCAGGTGGGCGGGGGCGGGGCTGTATTCGTGCGGGGAGTTCAGGAGCCAGGTGGCCAGACTTGCCCTCTGGGGGATGCGTTCAGTTGTAAAGTAACTGGTTTAAACAGCCAGGGCCTTTCGCTAGTTTAACGAGAATGTGGAGACAGCCAGCCTAGGTCTGGCTTAATTCCGGGGCTCCGTGATGTCACCGGGGCTCCCTTTCCTCTGTCTCTGAGCTCTGCCCTCCCCACTGTCGGCTTCACCCTGGGCCGGAAGGGCCCCCGATCTGGAAACCACAGCCCGGAAGCCCGTTGCCCCCTCCTCACTCGGGCCAGGGGAGCTTGCTTCCAGGACCTTGTCTCCAAAGATCGGGATTTTTTTTCTCAGAGCCCCCAGAACTCCCTTCTGTCTCATTGGCCTGAAAATGTAGGTGGTCAACTTGGCTGGTCAGCTTAGGTCCAGGCCACATGCCCTGGCTGAAAACTGGGGCGGTTACCAAGGAGAAGGGGATTGGAGCATGGTGTCCCCTTCAAGGGGGTGGTAGTGGGCCGGCGAGGGAAGATGAGCAGATCTGGTGGGTGGGAAAGGGGCCGGGAGAGGAGCGACCATCAGGCTCCCCACAGTGTGGAGTGAGCGGTAAAGGGGAGCGCAGAGCAGGTGCCCATGAGCGGGGTGGGGGGAAGAGCTCCCCATTCTAGGGTTGGGATAAGACTCCTTAGTGATGGAGAGAGTGGCTGTGGTTCCAGCAGCAAAACGGAGAAGTCAGGAAAAAGAACAAGTCAGAGAGAAAAGGTCATGGGCTCAGGTCACTCCTGAAATCGAGGTGCTCATGGGACATCCAGGTGAGATACTTACCTGAGCCTGGGCTTGGAGGAGACGTCAAGGTCAGGGGCGACGTGGACGTCCCCGGCAGGGGGTGACTGTAGGTGCAGCGGAACCGCAGGAAAAGGGAGTGGGAGGGACCAGAGGGAACCCCAGCTTTCAGGGCGTGGGAGGACAGAGCAGAGGCAATGAGTGTGACTGTCTCCTTTGCTCTGACAGAGCCTTGCCAGAGATTCCCATAGTCTCGGTGACAGTCCAGCCCCAGAGTCCACGGCAGCCAGTGCCACCAACACCACTTCCGCACGGGCAGCCCTGCTGCCGGCCCGCACGCAGCCGCTGAGCCCTGCTGCTGGCCCCTGACCCTGCCAGGATGGAGGGCACGCTGGTCCCGGGATTAGGGCATCCTGTTCCTCCGACGCCTGAACAAACCCCTGTGTGCCAGGGGCGCACAGGGCGCCGGGACCTGGTAGTGAACCTGGACTGGACCCTCTTCTTGAGCTGTGAGCTGTGTCCACTGTCGGGAGGAGTAACTTCCCTCCACCCTTCTAGGTTCTTCTGGCTGGAAAAGAATTAGATAGACATGAGCCAGATGAACAGGAGAAAATCAAAGTTTAATAACGTGTCTTTGGGAGAGACCCAGAAAAACCAAGAATTCCCCAAAGTGACTGGAACTCTCACTTTAAATACCGTCTTCAGCTCAAGACAAAAAGAGGATGTCGGGGATAGTGGTCTGGGGCCTCAGTGGGGAGGAAGGCAATTGGCATGGAGATGGAAAAGCAGGCGTGTGGTGGAGCCGTGTCTGCTAGGCCTTCAGGGACAGTGGGGTGGGTGGGCTCTGACCCCCGGCACTGCCGAGTGCCCCACCACAGCCAGCCTGTATTCTTTGCCAGTATCTCTGGTGATAACTCTACTTCGGCGACAGGCCCTCTGTCTACGTTTTTTAGGCGGTTGTGGGGAAGGTCACAGTTTCTTCCTGAGTCTTTGGCCTCTATTGGTTCCAGCTTGAAAACATTTGCCTAAGAGACATTTTGGGGTGGCGGGTGTTTCTCCTTACACCGCCGTCAGATGGGAGGCTCCCCAGCAGTGAAGCCCATGCCCCTCTGCCCTTGACCTTGGTGTCTCACTGCCGGCACAACCCTGTACCAGGAGGGTGGGCTCTGGAGGCCCCATCCCCGTTTTCAGCGTTTTCATGACACAAGTCCTGGGGAGCTGCCTCCCTCTGGAGGCCATAGCCCCTCAGGCCCGCCCTCCGGTTCCCAGCCCCTGTGTCCCCCATACTCACCGCATCACCATGCTGTACCCACAGCTGCCTGTGGTCCGGTGAAATCCCTTCCCCTGTGTGCGTCCATCCAAAGAGCCGGAAGGCTGTGGTCCTGCAGCCGTGCCCCTGTTCATGGTGATTGAGGTGGGTCTTCCCCAACCTCCGAGCTCTCTGGGCATTTATATCTGTGCCGGCAGGCTTGGATTTCTGCTCTAATAATCATCCCAGATCCCTGAACACTCACTCTACTCTGTGCTGTGCCTCTGACATGCTGTGTCTCATTGAGTCCCCAGAAGTAATCTAGGAAGTAGCTTTAGTTTTTATCCTCGTTTTGCGGAGGCAGAAGTCAAGGTTCTGAAAGTCCAACCACCTTGCCACACAACCAGTGAGCGGCCGCATCAGGAGGGGACCACGCCTCTCTGGCATCAGGACCCCAGCTCAGAACCAACACCCAGAGTATCTCAGCGCCGTCCCAGGCTGCCTCCTTCGGACGCACCTGGGGTGCTTGTTAGAAGTCGTACCTCATCCTCAGAAGTCATGATTCATCAGGTCCGGGGCGGCGCTAGAAAGTCTGATTTTGCACAAGCCCCAACCCCACATTCTAATGGATTCTAAAGCTTGAGAACTGTGTCCCGCGAGCCTGCCTCCTGCTTAAAAAAAAGTGTACTTGTGGTGAACTATGTCTTACATACAAAAGAGCATATAGGACCTACCATACAGCACAGGGAGCTATGTTCAATTTCCCTAATAACGTATAATGGAAAAGAATCTGAAAAGAAAACATATCTACGTATGTATGCATGTGTACGTGTGTAACTGGACCGCTCTGCTGTCCGCCTGCCTTCGAGGTGACAAACCCCAGAGTAGTCTGAGCTCATCACCCCCGCCTTTCTCTAAACGCTCCCGCTCGTGTGCTCGTCCCTCGACAGTATGAACTTCGCCTGCTTGTGGACCTGACATAAGTAAGCTGTTTTGTGAATTCTAGCTTATCTGCTTCTTTGGCTCCAAATTAATCTCTGAGATTCACCCATGTTGACGCCCGGAGCGGACGGTTCCCGCTTGCTGCTCCTCGCGCCTTCTTTGTGGAGCCTGTGTCTTACGTTAGTTTGGCTTCTTCGGAGCGCCTGGCAGGGGACTGGCAGCTGCGCTCAGGGCCCCGCGCAGGAGGAGGTGCCCTGTGGGCAACCCGTGCTTCCCTCCCCCTGCAAAATTAATTCCCCTTTCTGGGTCCAATTTCAGAATGCCGAACTGGGGAGGAGGCAAGAAGTGTGGGGTGTGCCAGAAGACCGTGTACTTCGCGGAAGAGGTTCAGTGCGAAGGCAGCAGCTTCCACAAATCCTGCTTCCTGTGCAGTGAGTACGCCCCAGGCCCTGCTGTTGCCGTGGGGACCGGCCGCCGGCCGTCAACGCCAGGGCTGGCCCCGCCCCCAGGTGGCCCGGGGATGTGAACAGCCTGACTCTTGGCTGCAGGGCAGCTGGGGAGGGAGGCACTTAAGGGCCTCTTTGTTCCCTCAGAAGCTGTTTTCTGGGGGCCGAGCTGGGGGCGGTGGCAGACGCTCTGGGGCTGGGAGCCAAGGCGAAGATTTGGCCAGAGAACTTTCCAGTCCCCCAGTCGTCTTTCTCTCCCTGCCATGACCCCATCATTTAAGAGGGAGACGCTTACCTTCAGCCCACAGTTGCACCTGCCTCTGGACCCGACGGTCCCTTGTTGAAAGGCAGCAGACGCCCCAGATGAGGAGAACAAAGCAGCGGTTAGCAGGGGAGGGGGTGGGGCGTGAAGGGGCACCAGCCACTGCGTGTGAAATAGGGAGGCTGCAAGGATGGCTTGTGAGCACGGGGAACGCCGCCAGCTTTAGAACGACTGCAGGCGGACACAGCCTTCACCAGTGTGAGCCGCCGCGCTGGACGCCTGAACCTGACGCGGTGCTGCGCAGTAAAGGAGGCAGCCGCCTCAGGGAGGCTGCGAAGCTGCGTCTGGGAGGAGCTGGGCCCTCCCTCCCCGACCCCTGCGGCCAGCGGCCCACTTCCCTCCCTTCCCGTCCCACCCTGACATTAGCTCCTGTAGGTCACGGCCTGGACCAGCAGGGAGCCGTGAGCGGGGAGCCGCACGCCATCGGGTGGACCGGGGATGCCGAGGCCTCGGTGCTCCGCTGACCGGCGCCTGGGCCGGGCCCTGTGTTCAGAGCTCCCAGGAACTGGTGGCTCCGGGACACCCAGATTCCTGCATGATGGGGCTTCCTGTAAACAGAGCCCGGGCTGGCTTAGAGGAAGAGGTAGCTTGCGTTTTCCTCATGTCCAGGCGGCGTGGCAGGCGGCCAGACGTGTTATTTCAGAACCAGTTGGTCAGGGTTTGAATGTGCATTGCTGTTACCTGTGTGGTGATGGGCCAGTTATTTGGTTTCTCTCTGGTTGAGTTTTCCCAACATTACCAGGGAGATAATGACACCTGCCTCGTGGAGGATGGGGCCGGGGGTTGTGAGAATAACCTGAAAGGGGCACAGAAAACAAACACAGCCCTTAGAGCAGTTGTGAGTGTTCAGTAAATGATGGCCACTCCCCACGACACACACACACACACACACACACAAAACGCTGAGGGTCCGCAGGCAAGATGGTGTAACTCCAGGACACCTCCAGGGACTGACATCCCAGCCTGCCAGGAAACGGGCCGTCCACCCTGCTTCACACGAGCAGAGTGGGGACAGGGGGGCTGCGTTTTTTCCAGGACATCTGGGCTCCAGAGCAGAGTCCAGATGGGCCAAGGGCCACCGCTCCCTGAATGTCCAGCTGGTCTACCTGCTGCTGGGTGGACCAGCCAGAAGCTTCCACCCACCACACAGCCCGCCGGCTGCCCCAGAGACAGACCGGGGGCTGCATCCATCCCTCTGTCCGCCATGTGGGTGGTGGAAGAACTTTGCTGGAGCCCTTGGCTTCCGGCCCGTGGAGGAGGAGGCAGCCGGCAGTGTCGTGGTCAGCAGTTCGCTCCGCTCAGGAATTTTCAAGCCGTTTATGTTTTCAGAGGGAGTCAGAGGGCTTGGCACTGGCTGGGGAGAGGGCCCAGACTGCTGGCCTCAGGGACCCCTCCCTGCTCTCAGAGGTTGCGTTGACTGTGGACTGAAAAGGGCCAGCTGTGCTGAGAGGCCCGCCGCCCTGCTTGGCGTGGCATGGCGGCTGGTCTGGCGGTGGAGGGAAGCCAGGAATGCAGGGGGTGGGGGGCGCAGGAAGGAACGGGCAGGCCTGCGTGGGGTGGGTCGTGGAGGATCAGCAACAGTTGTTGCTGTGGAGATCAGGCTGTGGAGGTGCGGGAGGTGCGGGAGGGCAGCCTCCTGCCTCTCTGGGGCCTCCTGCCTCCTGGTTCCTGGGCCCCAGAGCTCGAGGGTGTTGGCCTAATCTGAGCCGCTCCACCACCTGCTGATTCTCGGGTCCTAGGACAGCACCAGGGTGCAGATTCGTTTAATGAATGGACGGAGGGGGCTTCTCGTTCTCGGTGAGGTGGGAAGAAGTATCCAGCTAGAATTCGAGAATTCAGAATCACCCTCAGAATCAAAGGACTTTGCCTGCTAAGGTGGAGAAAGGCCAGCAGGGCTTTGGGCCTGGGCAGTATTGGGGCCTTAGCCCCTTGGCCCCTTGCTGGCCAGGCCCGGGTGATTCCCCAAGAGAAATTCCTCTGACCACCCCAGTCCTTGGCTCTGAGTCCCCGCGTCTGGGGCCCGGGCTAGATCGGGAGCAGCCCCTGCCCTGTTGGCCCGCAGTGTCCACTCCAGTGGTCCGAGCAGGGCAGCCAGTCCCTATCCATAGGCAGGATGCGGGCAGGGTCAGCTCCGCGGGGGACCTGCCCAAGGCTGCTGCCTCTCTGAGCTGTGAGAACCCTGTCCTGGGAAGGTCAGCTGGTGAGAAAGCCCCCCCAGGGTGGTGGGACTCTCTGCTGGAGCACCGGGGACCCTCACAGAACCCCCCCGGGTGCCCCTGACACCAGTGTCCTCTCGCCTGCAGGCCAAGGTGCTCGGTGCATTTTCACCCTCCTGGCCCCACACTTGGTCCACCCAG